TAGTACCCATCAATAGAGCAGACAAACCGAAAGTCTAAATGATGGTACGGTTGTTCTACTGATGGTCTTCTTCTGTTTTTCCCGAGATTGTTCTCGAACGCAGGTCAAAAGCTATAAATATCCTGCCCATACGCGGACTAGCAGTTTATCGTGAAGAGAATATTGAGTGTATTGAGTTCAGTAGCAGTGCTTTGAGTTCAGAGATTAGCTTGGGAGCGATCGACCGAATCGGGAGCTGCACTTTAGTGCTTTGCCGTGAAGCTGTCTTCACCGTTATAGCCTGATAGCCTGAAGGCTGTGTTGTTGATTGTTTCAGCGTGTTTAGCGTAGTTTTTCGACGACTGTAATGCGTCTTTTAGATTTTTCCTGCCAAATACTGGCGAGTAAATTGTGTTTGGATTCTTCATCAAGTGTTGTCATCAATCACTCCAAATCCACGAGCCCTTAGAACGCAACAATACATTTATACTAATACAGGAAAACAATAGTTTAATAAATTGCTGAATTTGGTGAATCTTCGGATTATGGTAACTTGGCGATTTTTTGGCGACCAACCCTGCTACAGCAACCTGCTAGTTGTTTTTTTGAACGCCATTTGGTTTTCACGAAGTAAAGGCGTTTTTTTTTTTTTTAAAATTTGCTAGCCGAATTACGCTTATGCTAGAACTTTTATGGAACAAAAGTGCTTAATCATGACGAAGATTACAGGCGAAATTTGGAGAAAGTGCAGAATCGCCCACTGCTTGCCGCGTTTTTAAGAATTGCACATACAGGGTATCCATGTACACATAGGTTAAAAAAAATCACAGAATTGCACAAAAATGGCATTACGCACACTCTTGACTTTCTCCATGTACACATCGACCTATTTTCACTTAAAAAGTCAAAGAAAATTGACACAAATCCAATTCTTCTTATTCTTGTAAAAAGCGCCAAACAAATAAGTGGACGATTCTGCACTTTAGCAGCGAAATTGTTTCTAAGTGCTTATTAGCTAAAATCACGATTGCAAATTTCCGAAAAATGTCACATGACGTGTCTCATGATCTCTCATTTCTCTGAGACAAAATAATCTGTGATTCGAACTGTGTACTTCTCAGATTATTGCTAAAGTCCTAGCTAGTAACCTTTGTCGCCTTACCAAAATGTCGCCAAACTACCTGTTACCATATTCCAAAGATTAGCCCTGAATTTTTTTAAACAACCCTTTTGCTTGAGATTTTAAAACTATTTTCTTGTAAATAATGTGCTATGATGATATGCACACATACATTATTTGCACAATTATAATGCATTTATATCTCAAGGCCATCAGATACACGCTTTGTGACGTTCGATTTAAATGTGGCTTCTTGTCTGCTGTATAAGGTTAATGCGGTTTCATCTTCCGAGTTGCCAGAATACGACTCAATAACTGTTCTTTTCTTTGCGGTCAGAAACCCCTTTCCTGTCTCTTTATCATACAGTTGTTTCCTACCAGTTATATCCATAAATAAAACTGTCTTCGCGTTGGAATTGTAATAAAATAGCTAACTACAACCTCAGTTGTTTTCTGCAGCCCATTTCATAGCAGTTTCCACACGAGTTTCAGTTAATATTAAAATTTTCAACATTTAATTAATATAAAAATGTGCACGTACTGCACACAGAAAATGTTTATTGTTCTCCACACGAAGCTCATATACTGATAGTCCTCGAATTGCGATGAGTGTCGTTCCATCGATACCATTCTAAGTCGATTCTGAAGCAAGTCGAGAATTCTTTTCATTCTTCACATCTTTTATAATACTTTTATGACGTAGGCTTAACATAAAAATAGTTTAACACTTTAACTACTAACAGTGTAAAAACATTAGGTTATTTCGAAGCCAAAGAGATGAAAAATGAGCAACGCCTTCGGCGGGAATCGAACCATGGACCTCTGGAATACCGGCTCAGTGTGCTGACCACCACACCACGAAGACACGCTAAGGCGGCAGGAGAAATACCTTATATACTCCCCCTTTTAAAGGGCAACTGTGGTTATTGCGGGACCCAATCGCCAAATCCTGGTTGTGGAGAATCATCTTCCACCACCCTTCTAATTCGGGCGCCATTGTAGAAACATTAGGTTATTTCGAAGCAGGGGAGAGGAAAAATTAGCAACGCCTTTTCTGGGAATCGAAACACGGACCTCTGGAATATGTTCCCCAGCATGCAGACCACTACACTACGAAGGCACGCTAAGAAGGCGGGAGAAATACCTCATGACAGGACATGAATCTCCCGCTAAAAGTTTAAAAATCAGTGCTGGGTTAAAAAGTACTTCGAATCTCCTGAATGTCGGAGATCATGTTCGAACAGTTGGAAAACCAAGATGCCGCTGTACTCATTATACACAAATGAACGTAAAAAAAAGAACAAATACGAGTTGCCCAATGTGTAATGCTGGGTTATGTAAAGAATGCTTTACTCTGTACCATACGATGTAAAATGCATTTTATATTACATAGTTTTTCAGAATAATAGGTGTGCTTATAGTAAGTCAATCGCTACGTGTCGGACGTATCTATCCCACCATTATCTGCGGCTGGGACCTATGAGTCCCAGCTTTTGGCTTGAAAACCGTTTGTCCCAAATCCATATGCTAAATTTACCTTATTTATGATTAGCAGTATTGTATATTATATAGTGAAATAGATAGAAAAATGGGGTAATTTTTTTCCCAAATTCGCAGTTGAGAATGAATAAATATATTTTACTATTATGAGCAATTTCTTTGTATACATATTTTGTAAAATTAAAGACACACTCTTCCTAATTATAGCTAATTAAAAAAAAAAAAACATATAAACGATGTCATTGTTTAAAGGGGAAAATAAGCAGCTGTTATCCATAGGGATGATTCATTGCAACCGAGAATAGTCTAGTCAAAAATTCGTATATTTATTTTTCCTTCTGTCTTCACACATTTTTCGATAACATCTGATCGTTTAAAAAATCTGATTTCCAAATTAAGAGAAATAGCTAGTTTTTCAAACGGAAAAGCTGATTAATTTGCTCTAACTTTTTGTAGATATGCTGGATATGCATCTACTTTAAGCTGATGTTAAAAATTTTATAGGTCATAATTCAAAATACTTTTCGTCGTACAATTTTACAAAGTTTGACTGTTTGGCATAATTTGAGTGGTAGAATCGAAATATGGAAAAAATTGGCATGTCATTTCAGAAAAAGTCCGATTTTGTGTCAAAATACCTTATATATATCTAATATATATCCTAAGTCGCGCTTTCGAGACATGAAAAACGTAATTTGAATTTCGTCAATCGGCCCAGTAGAACGTGAGATATAGAACTGTTCCTCCCCCCTTTTTTTTTTTCCCAGTGTACATTTACACGCTTGCCTTTTTATTTTCTTTTTCATTTTTTTAAGTCATGCGTTTGCCCTTGATGCAAAATCAGCATATTTAAAAATTTTTTTAGAGAGAGTAAAACATACTTTAATAGTCATTCTGAATCTACCTCTGACTTTCAAACCAAACGTACCTGCCGTGAATTTCACCTTTCCTAACGAAAAAAACAATTTTCTTTATGCTTTTGGCCTTGAGATAATGAACAACGCAGCCAAAGCACCACATTTTTTACAAATCTTACTCATGTGTTTCTAATGAGGTAACTCTGTGTCCCAGGTTTAATGATAAATAATTATTTTAGAATTTTTCTCCTTATTTTTGATTAAATTTCTGGGAAAATAATTACTTTTTTTTTCTATTTTGCAAAGTTTTTGTAAAATGGTTGCAATGAAACAAAAAATAAAATATATCGTGTATATAATTACTACAATACAACTAATTATATTTATTTATATGTCTATTTAAAGACTTAAAAAATAATCAGCACTTTAGGACACATACTCTGAAGCCTTAAAAAATGATTTCCGCTAAATAATAAAAATTATGATGATGTGTTTCATAATTTTATATACGCCAAAGGGTTTTTTTAACGTTCTGTATTATCTTTATTTAATTAAATCATGTCTTCGACTTAACCGTAAATTTATTCACCCAGCATATCACAAATAATTCAAAAAGAGCATAACTTAGAATTTCCGATACACAGTCTCGCGCACTGGAGATAGTTTTTTTTTTTTTTTTTTTTTTTTTTTTTCTGTATAGTGTGCCTTGCTTGCTTTGAAATCGTTGAATTTGTTTATAAAAAATTCGTTAAAATTTTACAAAATATGAAATAGATAATAAAACAAATTCGAGCTTCTGAGTTCCCATGTTCGGTTGGAGGACTATGTTATTCAAAATTCGATGGCCCTAAGTACCATTGTTTATTCACAATGCGAAAAACATTCGTGCAGCTTCTTCATTAGCCTTTAGTTTCTTTAACTATAAATGGCGATACATATGGTGGCAACAGTTTGAAAAGCGAATCGACGCAAAATGCCGTTTTGAAATTAATTGCCCTTTTGGGCTAAAAAGAAAAGTTGCGGCACAAATAAAATAAGCACAGTTTTGGCATTTGTAAAAATCTTTTCTATTTAATTATTAATCTCAGTTCTCATCAGGTGCAGGTTTTGTTTTGTTTCCATCGAGCAATCACTGTAATTGCCATATGGATTACTGTTCCAGTCGCAACTCATTCACATAGGAAAAACAAATAAACCAACTCCCCTCCCAACTTATCCCCAGCTCTTTATCATGGACGTAGTCGGATTAGTTAACCGATCCTAACCCACGCCCCTTTTTCGGTAGATGTTTGATAAAAGAGAGGGGGGGGAAAAAAATTGAAGAAATGCTCCACATGTTAACTAAATAAACTAACAAATACCACTTTCAAACCAACCAACATATGTGAAAAGAAATTCCACGGAAACCATTGGACAGCTTGGAAATCACGCGAAAGGAAATAAAATTGAAAAATTTTTGGCATGAGTTTTGGTGAAGGGGAGGGTGGTGAAAGGGGATTAAAATGGCGCCTGATCGTCTATGCAGCCTGCTAATGTCGAAGCGTCTGGCGAACTGTGCTGCCCTCTAGCGAAACGTGCTGTTATATGGATGCCGGTTTTCTACCGCAGAGGCTTTAACTACGTTCTCTACAGGTAACCCATACAGTATCAGAAGCTTATATTACTTACTCACTGTAAAGCACCATGAGCGACTGTGAGTATACGGAAGAATTTTTTATCCACCTTTATTTCTAATATGCACTGAGTATTTAATGTTTTCAACAAATGCTTCTGCTTTTAATTATCGATTAAAAAGGAGCAGTGAAATCTTAGGTACCTAACATTTTAGGCGTGGTCATTAAATTTTTTTGGCCTAGTATCGTATGCACTATACATTAATTAGCATTTTCAAATATCTGCTGTTAATAATCATATTTATACTTCATATTTTAATAGCACATTTTAAGTTAATAATTAATCAGAAATATAGTTATAAAAATCAGTTAAATAATTAGTTTTGTATACTGAGCTTGAAGAGAAAGTCATAAATCCATTAAAATACAGTGCTAGTGCTTATGTAAAAAAATGTATTATACTGTTTGCTTTGCATTAATTATATTAAGCTAGATTCGCTAATTACGGAATTACTCAGCTTTCTCCGTTTCTTTTGCTATGCTTCATTTCATTTCATCAAAATTATAGTTAAACGAGTTAAAAATGTATTCTGAGTTAATGTGTTCATTGTTAAAAATGGTGTTCCGATTTTAATAAGCAAAACTTATAAAATGTTTTTCTATTTTAGTTTTGATTCAACGATTTAAAAAAGTACAAACCATCAGATTTTCTTAAATCCTTTTATTTGAAATTATAATTTGTATATCGAATGTTCAATTGAGTAACCCGATTGCGCTGTAATTTCTTTCTTTTTTCAAATTTTTCTTCTGGTTTCCCTTGTGAATTTATGTGAATATTAATTGTAAATGTGAAACGAATGTATGAAATGGGCGTTGTTGAATAAGCTTAAATTAGAGTATAAGAATTTAGAACATAAATTAATGTTTTTTTTTTAAATAACCTAACAGAAAATGTTTAAAACTCGGTATTTTATGAAGACAGAGAAATTTAATTGCAATAGAATTTTCATCGCAACCGCAGCATGACCGTAACCGTTTTGTCATTAAACGCGCGAAAATGTTTCTTCTTTCCTACGCTAGGAGTTGTCAATTAGACTAGTGTTTCTCAACCGCTGGTCCGCAAGAAATATTTGCCGGTTATTTTTGCCTTCAAGATTTATTTATGTGAAAAAATTGTGCCAATTGGTCTAATTCTTAAACATACCGAAATATTTTACCGTGTAGTAAATCCAGTTGAGAAACACTGAATTAGACTACTGATAAAGCTTAAGTACGAAATGCTATTATTAGTGATTTTTAACGCAGAATTGTTTGAATGATCCATCAAAAATTTCTTTAATGTCAAGTTATGGATACGATTTTATGCATCAGATGTACTATTATTATTCATGTTAGAAGTTTCAACATACCGCGCAAAAGTCCTAATAATGCTAGTTTCATTTAACTTTTTTATTCATTATTAGTATTTCATCTACTTCATATTATATAAATTAAAAATGCAAGCTAAACTATAAAAAAATAAAGCTAAAAATGCTTTATGATAGTAATTTTATAAATTATTTTGATTTATGACGAAGTTTCACTTTTTTTGCAATATAAATTTAATCACAAGTGTTTCCAGTAGCAGAGAATGGCAAAAGATTGAAAACTGAAATTTAGTCGTTGGTTATGTAAATAGTTTCAATTCGGTTTACGGCTTCAAAAGTACTTTTGACTCAGTTTTATAATTCAAACCGTGTAATTATCTCATAACATATATAGTTCCTAATCTAGGTAACATTTACCCAAATTTTTTAACGAATACTGAAATTTGAAAATGGTGAAGCCTGTAGAATGTCCATTAACATGTTTACCTGAAATTTCTTTCCCGATAAGAGAAAAAACATTCATTAGAAGTATGAAATGCCGCCGAAAAAATATCCAATAAATATAAACAACACTTTTATTTAAAAAAAATTAAACTGCAGATTATTTGCAAAGAAATTACAACACAATTTAGCAATTAATTGATTTCGTTTATTCATTTCGTTTTGTGACGTTTCACAATAAACGGCGTTTTACTTTTCAAATTGTTGCCACCAAATATTAGAGCCCTGCATTATATTTAAAGAAATTAAATAATGGAGAGTCGGCATAAATGTATGTATGTTCCACTCAGGGTGAAAAAACAACGGTATCTAGAGACATTCAATTTTGAACAACGTAGTTCTCCATTAAAATATGGGCATCTGGAAACCGAAATTTGGTATTTGTTTTATTATATATTTCGTATTTTGTCAAACATGAAAGAATTTTTGATTAAGAAACTCAACGATTGAAAAGCGAGCAGTGGCAAAACTGTACGAAAAAAAAAAAAAAAAATCTCCAGCACGCGAGATTGTCTATCGGAAATGCTAAAGATATGCTCTTTTAAATATTTTGTGATATTGCTGTTGATTTATTTCTATTGTTTAAGTGGGAAGAACATGATATTTAATAAGGTAACTCACAAAACGTGCCTCTTTGAGTGTAATATAAAATCTGAAAGGTTTCATATTTTTATTTTTAATTTTTTTTTAAATTATATAATTCATACTTATCAACTTAAAAAACTGAATTAACTGTATAATGTAAAAGGTAATAATAATATTTGAAATATGAAAGAAGAATGGGGGCAATGTAATATGTGTGAACACTGTCATTTAGATAGAAATTCGAAACGTATTATTTCTTAATAAATTAAAAATATTTTTACCGATTGGATATTTAAATCAACTAATTCCAGATAATTTCAAGCATTTTTTCCCACTATTTTATTTTAATAAATAAAAAGAAAAGTTTTATTTTGTTGCATTATAGATAAAAATGTGTATTTCAACACAACTTATTTCTCAATATCTTTAACTATACCAAATTGCATGCCTATCTTCAAGACATAAGCCGTCTTTAACTATTTTTTTTTAAGTTCATTGGGTTCTTTTTTTTGAGCGTCTGATAGTGGCAGCACTAGATGAATTTGGGTACGCCCTCAACAATGATTCACTCTCGTGTGACGTAATCATTCGAGGTCGAATGAGTCACACTAGCCTTTTTGTCCACGCTTCGAGAATTCTTAATGTTTACCTAGAACTTTGACAGACTCTGTACACATCTGGTGATAAATAATAACTTAAGAGAATAATAGTTTCTCCACTCGACTAAATTCTCTCTTCGTCGGTAGATATAAAGGGTTAAAATTATCCAGTTACTGAATTCGATATTGTTCGTTTTAATGGTTATGAGTCTTTTTCAACAACTTATCTCTCTCGATAGAAATTTTAAAAGAATATTTTGAAACCCCTGCCAGAAATTCTTTTCGTGTAGTTGATCAGTGATTTATTCTCTGAGAAAAGTTTCAGTGTATAAATTAAAAATTTTATCCGTATATTTGCAAAATAAAAACACAGCTGAAATGCTAAAAAATGCAAACAAATACTACAAGTGGAATGATTAATGAGAAAATTCAATGTTTTCATCTAAATATGATTGTGTTATAGACTAAAATATCACTGCTGTAAAACAAACAATGGAAATTTGCTCTTCTCTAGAATTGGTAATCTAGAATAGAAATGAAAATAATTTAATTTTCGTATAAAGATGAAAAATTTAATATATATTTATTTTCTTAAAAGGTAAAGAATTTAAGTTTATTAAAAGCTTGCAAGCGGAGACATATTTTTCAAATGATAAATAAATATAAAGTAATAATAAATACATAAATAAATAAATAAAAACAATCTAAAAGGTTTCAGATTTTAAATTATGTCCAAAGGAGCGTTTTATAACGTTTTGTGTGTTACCTTTATTTATTACATAAATATCACGTTCTTCGTACTTAAACCATAAACTTCAGTTCAACAGCAATATCGCAAAATAATTTTTAAATGAGCCTATTTTTAGAATTTCCGATAGAGTCTCGCACGCTGGAGATACAAATGTTGTTTTTCATACAGTGTTCATACATTGCTCGCTTTGAAATTGTTTAGTTTATTAATCAAAAATTCTTAAGTGTTACAAAATATGAAATCGATAATAAAACAAATTTGAAATTCAAATTAGGGCTTCCACATGCCCATATTCTGTGGAAGATTACGTTATTCAAATTTTGATAGCTGTAGGTACCGTTGTTTGATCCCATTGCGAGAAACATACATACATAAATGCAGATTCTTCATTATTTAATTTCTTTAAATATAATACAGGGCGATAATATTGGGTGGCAACAATTTGAAGAGTGAAATTGTGAATCGACGCAAAATGTCAAAACGAAATGAACAGTCCTTCTGGGCAAATTGCTCTTTGGACTAATAAATATAATAAAAAATATTTTAAATTTATTATAAATATTTATTATATTACATTATTATGTTTATATTGCTTGCAAGTGAAGAAATATTTTTCAAGTGATTTTAGGACGACTTCAGATTGGCTTAAATATATATTTAATTTGAATACAAATGGTTGGAAAAACCTTAACAGTTCTAGCTTTTAGATATTAATTTCATAACCTTAGATATTACAATAGCATCATCCAACATTTTCAGATTACATATTTAATATCGAATTTAAAAAGAATATTCTAATTTGCCCTTGAAAAGGAAACGTTCAATTTGCAGTCGGAGATTTTTAGTCTAGCAAAGAAACATAACATTATCAGAGTACCAATTCGTAAACCTAGTCCTTACGAGCACGTCTCTACGAAGTACGCGACGTTAGAAGGTTTGAAAATGTCCTAGTAAATTTTGATGAAACTAGGCACAACAAGACTAAACAAAATAGTACATGAAAATAGTAGCAAAATAGGACATAACGAAACATGAGGATAGTTGTTGAGCTGGTAAAATATATTAATAAAGTGAAAATTAAAGGAATATAATAAGGCATATAATAATAATTTGTAGGTACATAATAATAATAACAGGAAGTACAAATTCTTAAGAGAAATTACTGGTTGATAAAATTACAAAAGTAGAGAAAATATGAATGCAAGAAAAAGTATGAAAAATCATACTAAGAGATAATCTAAGTACAAAGATATTAATAAATCAAATCTAAGTACAAA